AGAGTAGTGGACAGGTGGTAACTCCTACCACCCCATAGCCCACCAGGTCTGCCACCCTGGCCCCATGCACCTCACTCCTGGACGCTGTTGGTCGCTAAATCCATATACTTTCCTAGTCTCTGACGCTGTCAGACGCTCGAAACGGGAGCGGTGGCTGATGGACGCTGCCGCAAAGTATGAACGCAGCCCCATGTTTCGAATCTCATGATTGAGTGCTAATTTAATTGCAATGAGCAAATTTTTGAAGAAGTTAAACGATACGTTGAACGAAAGGCCTACGGCGATACTGATGAGTATGGGCACCGTCGTGTATTCAAAAGACATGCCGGTGTGGATGAAAACCGGTACGACTTGCTTTTTCTCTGATTCCTTTCTTGATCCTAACTTCATCACAGCCGCTTCAAATTGTGTGATCCCTACTATCTTCAGCTTTCATTGAGACCTTTGCTTCATTCCCGGACATCACTTTTATTTGGAAGTATGAAAAGCCTGATGACGATATTTTCAAGAATGTTCCTAACGTTTATCCAATGGAGTGGATTCCGCAGACGGACTTACTTGGTAAATGATCACTGCTTGCTTTGTTTGTTCTCATGTATTTGCACTCACTAAAAATTGCTAGCACCTAACTTGCCAGCGGACGATCGAATATCACTGTTCATCACACATGGCGGCATGAATTCTATACTAGAATCCGTTGGTATTTATCACTTAATCTCTTGGAAATTTCTGGTATTTTTTCTAAATAATTTTTACTGATGACCATTGAAGATGAACTATGGAAAGCCGATGGTCGTCTTGCCTTTATTTGCCGATCAACAGATGAATGCGCAAGCCGTTAAACGACGTGGTCTCGGTATTGTTCTTGAGAAGCACTTGATTACAAAGGATGTACTGATTGCAGCCATTAATAGAGGACTGAACGATAGGTGAGTTTAACAAGCAGCACATGTCCAACGGTTCAGAGGGAGGGTCACCAAAAAAGTGCTAAGTTAAGGCCAAGTAAAAATCTTTGGCACGAAGGCCATTGACCTGAGAGGATAGGAGAGGCGGCCATGGACAGCGCACTCGCCCGGGGAACAGTTCTAGTCCTGCCTGGGGTCAGAACTTTGCCCGTAACTCAGCGCTGTTCTGATAATTTTCGGAACATGAACTGTAGCGCCAAACACTACTAGCACCCGCTTGGCAAACGAGAGGGTCTTGGGGCGATAAATGGGCAGGTGAGACCATTTGCGACGCCCAAGACAATCGTAAATTGTCGCTTCATCGCTGCGACGTTTTGTGCTGCAAACTCGCTGTGTGAATCGGTTTGTCAACTGGAACAGCTAGCCTTGTACAAATTGAAGCGAAAACAAGGCTTCATGCTAGGCGACCTAGAATGTATCCGTCCACTTAGGAATCAAATTAATAGGGGGCGACGTCGCGCGCCACGCCACCAGCGCGACATATTACGATTGTCTTATCACATATCCTGTCGTCGCAACGCGGATGTCACAGAAGACTTGAGAATGCAAGTTATCTGTTAGTTATTCATATCTTACCTCACTGATGAGCCGGTTCAGGAAATAGCGATGGTTCGTCTGAGGAGGGGACAAAACAAACTTGTGTTTCTTCAAAAAATTCACCGCTGCTGTTTGGCTTGGAAGGGGCATTTGCACTTTCGCTGGTTTCTTTTGCTGTTACCTGTTGGATAACGGGCCTTTCTTGGGTGACTCCTGTAGACAACTGGTAAGCCACTTAGGAGTTCGCAAGTCTTCACAAGGGCTTCTACAGACTTGCTCGTTGTCGCGTCAGGCGAGATGGGTTGGTGTTGTACCAGACTCGTTCTCCACCAATTTCTGGAACTCGTAACCAACAACAATTGGTGAAGACGACTGATGCGAACGATATGATACACTCCTGCCGCTTGCTCGCCTCGATAACATGAGAATTACCGCGGCAAACCTATTACTCTTGACACGCCTCA